TGTACAATCTGAATCCCACTCAGCTCATCAGTTTCAACCCTTGTCTTCAAGAAAGACCAAGCTTGCACCATACTATGCCAGTCATCAAATGTCACATCACAATGCAACAAATCCAGAATCCGGGCAGGATCACCGTGCTTCATGACAGCTTCATGAGCTAACAGTATCGACTTCAATGCTGGCCCCAAAAACTGATATGACTGACAGCCTTGATCCTCCAAGAATTCACGCAGCGGCAGGCATAGTTCTCGATTGAACTGCTCCAGCTGTCTTCTCGCATGCAAGTAGTGTTCTTGCAAGCTGCTCACATGGGGCTGAACAATGTCGGTGTTCCTAGGCCAACTAAAGAACATGGGTAATCCTGTCCTGAGGTTCTTCGCATAAACTGCCTCTGTCTGCACTTCCAGCTCCATGGAGATTTCTCTCATCCGATTGATGCGTGCTGAAGCTGTGCATGCCCAGAGCAAAAGCAACAAAGGGACCAGAAAAATCATTGCAAGCAGCACCATCACACGCACTTCTGCAGACCAGCTGGAATAATACAAACCGACTGCGAGCAGAAAGAACATCTTGTAATACCACCCGAACCGAACAGTGGCTAGCGTATGGACCAGTGATGCAAGCTCAACATATTGGCGCAGAGCGTTCAACAAAGCAGCTCTATGGACCAGTGATGCAAGCTCAACATATTGGCGCAGAGCGCTCAACAAAGCGAAGGCCTTCATGCAAACGCCAAACCAACGATGCTTCGAGCAATACCCGCTCTCTGCATCATGAAAGAACTTGCATCCAGCATAGCTGCAGGGGAAAGGTTTGGTTTCATCCACGTAATCTCCTACAGCATGAGCTCTCATATTGTCATGTCCGGTGACCTCGGTTTCCGTGTCTTCACAGGATTCATCACTGCTGGTGTCTTCACAGGATTCATCACTGCTGGTCGCTGTTGACCGACCCAGCAGGATTGGCTTGGGGAACGAAGACGCCGATATATAGGCATGTTGCCGCAGCCGTCGCCGAAACGAATGGAGGCAGCGAGAAGACATAGACCTCAGCATTCTGCAGCAGCGTCCGCGTTCGCTGTGCGCCACCGGCAGATGTTCGATGGTGACCCAAGTCTCTAAGTGTCTGCCCCGGTACCTCTTCAGAGACTGGATGGATGCATTCATCTCTATCCTCATCTCGAGCGAGACTTCGTTGCATCCGTGCAAAACGAAGATCAACTCGTCCAGGTGGCACAATGACTTCGGGAAAAGGAGGGGCAGTTCTTTGAGATGTGGCAGGTTCATGAACCTGAACGACAGGCAGCTGGTCTGGTGTGGAAATATTCTTGAAGAACACCAAACAAGTACATGAAACAAAAAAGGACTTTGGAGATTAACATAAAGAATTCCCTGTTACTGTTGCTTCCCATGCTTCCCCTCTTGAAACTCACTGCAGCTCAAGGAACCACAGCTCCAAGTACGCCAACTTCTCCATTTCCTGCAAAGCAGCTTCAAGGCCTTTGACACTCCACAGGTGCTCTGCCCCCGTGAAACGCAGGTTCAGCTCCTTCAAGGAGCTCAGTGGAGGGGCTGATAGACAGTCCAAGGTCTGAAGGCCGGAAAAGCTCAGGTCCAATCTTAAGATTCGCAGGTGAGCAGGAAGATGGTGTATCAGGAGCTCCAAATCCGAGTCACAGAGAAGAAGGCAACCAATGAATGATAGCTGGATCACCTTGCGCGAAAGATCTCCGTGCACGGCTTCTGCAAGCATGTCGGTCGATCTGCCATTCTGAATCAGACCGGACCAACTGGCTAAGGCAAAATGAGAGGCAAGCATCTTGTCTGCGTAATCTCGCTGGAAAGTCGGAAGGTTCTTCAGAATCCAGTCTTTATCACTCATCTGCGTAGCTTGTGCCTCCTTGCTGTACCCACGGCCAAGGTCAGCGACCCGTTTAGGGGAAGGGGAAGGGACAACGTTCATAGCATCGGCAACCTCCTATTCATCCAAAGCCATGTTGCTCTTCTTTGGGGGTCCAAACCACTCTCTGACCCAGGTTCCAGGGGGAAACCAAAAAGAATCATCTCCTTTTGGGTGTCTGGACAAATACTGTAGATGATGTGCAAGTATACACCAAAACGAACTGCAAAATCCTTCGCTCCAACAGGCGCCAGGGCGCTTCGATCTTCACTCGAAGGCCGCGGAGCAAAAGGTCCACCGGAAAGTCCCGTTCTCGGAGCGACTTCTGATGACGCCCCACGGTGCCCAGCATGCGGCGCTCGGCCCCAGCCAAACCATCGGTGAGCACATGAACCTCGTGGAGTGAAGGAGGTGAATCAGTGGAGTCGATCCGAAAAGCCGGTGTTTCCGGGAAGGGAGGAGGTGGATCAATGCATTGGACCAGTGGGGGGTATATACAAGTCTGTCTCAAAACAACATGATGCAGCTCTTCTCCAAGGGGACTCCGACTCCCTATTGGTTTGAGGAAAGAAAACCTCTTTGCTATCACACAACAGGCGAATTAGCACATAAGAGAACTGCCAAATGTTGTCCGCAAGATGAGCAGGGATTCTTGCAAACAAATATCAGGACATCTTACAATATACACATCTTGCACATTGATACACCACTGTAACAATCACTTTCAACCATTTTCTCTAGCTGGAGACCAATCCCACAGTCCGCAAACACACCGAATGACAAGGGATATGTTTTCCCCCTGTGCTTCTCCGTTTCAGGGAGTATCAGCCTCCAAATCGGCTTCACACGGATGGGCTGATCACACGAGCACTAAGCTGAGGCTTCGAATGGACCGACCGAACACTCCTCGCCGTCGTGGATGGCGGGGACCGTGGACAAAGGTCGGGACCGTAAAGAACATCAAGAGGTCGCGGGGACACACATCCTCTTAATCTATAGCATTCACGTATAATTATAGCATACCTAGAAGCACCTGGGGCAGAAATTTCTGCCTCAGTCCGATTTGCCCGGGAGGATTCGCGGATTTAGGGGAAATCCGCGCCAGGTAGGAATTTCCGCGGGCAGCAGGGAATTTTTGCCTCAAGCAAAATCCAACATAGCAACTCAAAAACCATTACAACCTACCAGGTTGTCTCTTCCATGATTGCAGACCGCATATCGTTCTGCATAGCTTCACATCTCAAGATCTGACACCCTACGATTTTGACACTTCTAAATTCATGACATTCACAAAGAGGCTGCGACATATGTTCAAGCCCTTCAAAGGCATCAAAGGCACTGTTCTTGAATCCCGCCTTCTACCAGGAAATTTCCGCCGGTTTCCCGGGTATTTCCGCCGTTTTCCCGGGTATTTCCGCCTCTTTCCCGGGTATTTCTGCCTTTTGCCCGGGCATTTTCGCGCTAGGTGTTTTCAACTTTGGACTGATTTTAGTCCTTTTGTGATCATTCCGCACAAGAAACCTTCAAAAACAAAGACACATAATATATGATATGATGGTAGCCAGATTTGCAGGTGGAGGTGGAAATTTAAGCGCTGCAAATTGTTTTTTCTCATTGCGGCGACCGTTCCAGGCAGAAATGCCCAATGTAAACCACAAAAATATTCAACTCCTCTAGAATATGTAGTCTTTGTCTCACTGGATTCCTGAAAGGGAATATTCGCGGCAACAAAAACATTTCCGCGGCAAACAGCTGATTTCCGCCCCAGGACGGGAAGAGCCGCTCTTCCTGAAAAAGGCAAGAATTTCTGCCCAAAGGATCTTCTAGGTATTATAGCATGATTTTTGTCCACTTCGCCATCATGAAAAGTTATGATCATCATCATCACCTTGCACCCAAGATCTCGAATATTTCGCATCATTGGCTTCTATGTCCCTTTTCCGGTGACCCATCGTTTCTCCGGTGTTCCAACGATGTGTTCCACCACGGGCGCCCTGGTCAGCTGGCCAAGTCACTTGGTCATAGGCATCTGTCACTCCCACATCCAGCAACAAACGACGTCCAGACCCCTGAGACTCTTGAAGATCAATCGCCTCAGCGACTCACGGATCCCTTTTTTTAAAATCTAAGAAAACCTGGAAAACCACTGGTTCTGAATGATCCATGTTGCAATATGTTGCAATGAGTTTTCAGGTTCTAAATGATCCCTGTCTAAAAAGCCTACAGTGCCGAAACTTCCAGACTGTGTACCCAGTACACATTTAAGGACAAATGGGACTGGTGCCAACGTGTGTCCTACCAAAACTCCATCCACCAACACCCCGAACCATCTTAGCCGTGGTGATGGCGATGCCTGCGTTCCAAGTGGCCATGGATACTTCAAAGCAACACCAACATCGCTCGAATGGAGTCCCAACAGAATCGAGCACCAAAAGAACACCCTCACACATCAGCATGGCCCGGCGAAATGCCCTGTCACCGGTTCTGAGCTCTTCCCCAAGGTCGTGCTGATTGTTGGCACTTGCGCAAATCCAATAGGCCATGGTATTTGGCAGCTCTCGGATCAACGCATGCTTTTGCAAGCACCACCAAAACTGGCACATGGGCTCCTCGGCCCGAACGTCTCACGGACCGGTCGGTGATCCGGCTTCGTCCACGGACGGCTTTGGGTTTGGGAACGCGAAATCGAGGCAAAGCCCCCCCTCCACAAAGCCAATTCCCTTCAGTTTCTTGTTTTTTCTGTTGCTAAGGCATACTAAGGCATGCTCAGGACCCTCATGCAGAAAACATCCGTGTTCCAAGGGCGTCCCTCACGGAACCTGCCATAACAAGGGTTTGAAGGTCTGGTGTAGGTCGGCCTCCACTTAGAGCACGGCGCGACGGCGAGTTTCAAGACCATGCTGCCATCCGACGGACAAGCTCTTCAGGGACCCAGTGTCAGGCAAGATTCAGCCAATAATGCTTTAATTTTATGCTTCAAAAATACGAGTTGAGTGTCTTATGCAGAACATGTCGGAAGTATTTGTCATTTGTCCAGTGTCTTTCTTCCAGTGTCAATAGGATGCCTTCTGATCACCCAGCTAGTTTTGTCAAACATGGTCCACAAATGAGCTGTTGAAAGCTGTGCACGTACGGCACCCCGACCAAAACCCACACACACACACACTCACACACGTCGATGGGGCATGCTACCAATGGCAAGAAACACGGGCGTCATCCAATATATGACTGCACATTAAGTTTAGACATCCGTAGCCTTTTAGCCAAGGCTCGATCCAAGCATGCGACACAAACCAAGAGGGTCTCTGCACTTCCTCATTCAGGATCTCCACCAAACTACATCCCGTTTGGTTGTAGCCTTCCGTAGCTGGCTTAATGATCCAAACATTTGCATGGTAAAAGTTGAAGGTCTTGAACTCCAGCGGAGAACCGGCATGGTCACCAGTGGTCTCGCACCATTTGTTCGCCATCTTTGCAGCGAAGTCCACCAGCAGCTGCAACTGCGGCAAAGTGATTCCTCGTTCCGCAGCGTCTGGAAGGTCACACGCCGCCTGCTGTTTTTTGTTCGGCCACCAGCTGGCGGGTTGAGCCGGCGACGGTTTGTTCAGTGGATTTCGACATGTTTGTTCAGTTGAAGAAGCAAGGTGGATGGTTCTTCTTGTCTTTATGATTGAAATACCAGCATCCAAAGAACTGGCATTTGGAATCTTGAGTTCTCTATCACAAATAGACCACGACGATGAGACCGAACAGAGCAAGTATCGGTCTGGTCGATAAAACACTTCGCAGGCATGAGCCCAAACAAAGCAACATGTCTCAACCAACCTGGTCTGGTCACTTAGCAACAAACAGGTCTCACCTTCTTGCTGATCTCCGAATAGTTGGTCAAGACCAACGCAGTTGCTGCATCGATCACATCGTCCGGCTGGAATTGACGCAGTCCGCATGACAGCAGTTTGTTGCCATGCCATGGTCTTTCTGGCCAGGTCTCATGGAGCCAAAGAAGCAACGCCTTGGTAGTCCCAATCTCCAATGGAACATCAAAGCGACCCTCTCCAGGAATTTCCACAGAAACCGACATGAAGCCTTCCATGAAGCAGCGGTCTTCGAGATTGCCAAGAAGGCCCTACTACTTGACTCTACACTTCAATGTGGAGAGCGACTCGTTTCAGTCAAAAGGAAAAGCAAAAGGCGCTGCAAGAAACATCAGGTTTCTGACACTAGCAGAACCATGTGCTAGATATTGTGTCACGTGCGCTCTCATTTGCAATGCTACAATGTACACCAAGTCTTACCAGGTACAAAACAAACCTCAACCATTTGCATGGTGCTCGAGTGCCGACATATCGAATCTTTTAAATTCTTTTGAGCAAGTCAATTAACTCGGCGCTGAAAGCAAAGCCAAATCCATGTGCAAACACATCAAACATCCTTGATCTGATTCATTCGCTCTTCCAGTGAGTCCTCATATTCCTTTTCCAAGAAAGCTGTCGCAACAGAGTCCGAACTGAAATCGCTGATGAAGGCAAGAACTTCAATCCAGGCCTTCTCTTCAGCAAAACCATGGAAAAAAAACACATATTGGCACTCCTGAATATGTATCCACTTCATCTCCATCACGGTGTCTGAACATCGTCCAACTTGTTGTCGTCTGAGTCTGACACGGCTCCTCTAATGAAATATAGAGCAGAACATGTGCTGCATTATGTTATTACACATATAATTAAAGTGCTGCCATTGGCATTCAAATTGGCAGAAGCTTAATGCTCCAACTGCACAAGCAATTACACCCGAACTAATTCAGATTGCGCCACAGCACACCCTTGACTGGCCTGGACAGCGCTTTGGACATGCAAGCTTACAACGATGCGCTCAAGAGTAGGATACCAGTACAACAGGGCAGGATGGGTGAAATGACTTTTGATAAGCTACTGGACTCCTCCTCATTCCTAGGTTTTGAGTCAGTTACAAGCCCTTCAGCCCTTCACAGCTGCGTCTTCTTGCCGAACTCGGAGTTCGTCGCCTCCTCGGCCCCTCCTCGGTCTGCCCCATCCGGGCCTCATCCGGCCCGGGACCAACGGCAAGCGAGGTCGAAAGCAACGGCAAGCGCTCGTTGAAATCGGGAGATCCCTGGCCGTGGCGGGGTAAACGGTAGACTGGTCTGACCTTTGTGTCCAACTGGGGGTCTCCCCATTCGAAAACACGCCCATATAATTACTCTGGATCATGATTTGCCATCAGATGCCATAAGATGTTTGATCACCAGTGGTGCAAGTCAGGTTGGATGGGGATATATCGAAAAAATCAAAAATCCACGAAAGGAACGCCCGACTCGAGGCTCCATGCCAAGACGTTGCACACGTGAAAAAGGGCCTCCAAGTGCGAAGCGGCCACTGGCAAGGCAGCACTGTGAATGTTGACATGTCGACTCGAAGGGAGCGAGGACAGGACGCGACTCGAACCGGGCGCTCCTGGCCTTATACTACTATAGTAACTAAGAAGCTACTAGGAACAAAGGGCATCGCTACTAGGAACAAGAACTCTGTATGGGTCTTGGAGTCCCTCTTCAACATAGTTTACCTTGGAGATCTAAATATCCACTTGGTCTGATCTGTCAGGATTCCCTGGTAACATCCTTCATGATCCTTTTGGCCGTGGTTCATCATTTTGATGTGCACTTCTAGCCGGGTTAGCTTTGTGGCTACGGCATTGGTCAATTGATTTCTAGACCCTCGAAAAGGTGCCATTGTTTTGGATGTTTGATGATTTTGTCACCTGCAAGCAGTTTTTTGTCACCTGTGGCGGGTCTAGGTTAACATCTTGGAGTTGTTCGTACCATACGCCCTCCTTCGTCACGCCCATGGACGCGTCTGCTCCATGGACGACTGAGCGAACGTCTGCGACGAAATGACGAGAGGTGGCGCCTGGGTAGGTCGCTGGTCGCTGCTGGTCGCCGCGGCGGCCGCGGCCCCGGGTGCCGTCGAGCTACGGCCAAAGACAGCAGTCATGAAAGAAGAAGAGTGCGACTCCAACCTAAGAGCGATGGCCTCCAACCTACGAGCGATGGCCTCCACCCTAGTAGCGATGGCCTCCACTAAGAGTGATGGGATGTGACAGGCTTCCTCTGATCATTGCATTTTCTCCAACACACATCACCGCCCATCACCGAACCACTCTCATGACGGGTTTGATGGCCGTTCACACATCGAAACACAATACCATGACGTCGGCATTCAGAGATCACGTGCAACGTCCTTCGCCCCCCGGGCGGAGCCTGTGTCGGTCTCCACCGGTGCCGAAGAGCAGAGCAGTGTGACTTGGGCCCAACAAGAAGGCAGCCCTCCACATCAGGGGGATAGATCTCGCCCAAGTTGAATTGGAATGATGGCCAATCGGAATGCTCTTGTTTCGTGCGCAGTCTGCGCAGTTTTCAACCCAATGTACATCTCAATGTGCTTGCTTGTTGTTTTTGCACCTCATATACAGTAGTCATGACTGCAGACTGCCACCGTGGCGATGGCAAAGAGGTGGCTGGAGCAAAGTCGTCACCAAATGGTAGTAGTCCTTCGACCAAGCGATAGCTTCTGGAACAGTTCTGGTTCGGAGTGACTGGAGAGTTCGCAAGCTGCAAGCCCTTCACAAGGCAAGAGCGCCGCTCCGTTTTGCTGCGGTTTGCACATGTTTCAAGCTCGGATGCAATGCCAACCAGGACTTAAGGATTTCATTTGCTACCCTGGTAGGATCCTTTGACCCCACATCTTTGATCTTTATGCGACTCTTGCCCAGGACGAACCAGTTCTGTTTTCGGCCTTCTTCATCTGGTGGTTCTGGCGGATAAATCTCGCAAAGTTGAATTGGAATGATGGGAATGTCTTTTTCGTGTGCAGTTTTCAACTCCAGAAAAGTCTCATAGCCGACGTTGGTCTTCTGCCCGTAGTGATCGGTGCAAAATGCCACCATGCCGATGGCATAGTAAAGGCCAGTGATGGTGGCTGGGGCAAAATCGCCACCAGGTCCTAGTCCTTCCACCATATAAGTGTCAACTCCCAAAGTGTCCAGTTTGTCTCTGACCGCTCTCATGTAGCTCTTGATCTGAGGATCATTGAAGCGCCCCGAAAGAAACAGGTGCCGCCCCTGTCGAGGGGCTACGGGGGTTGGCACTGAGACTTTGTGTTCCTTGGAAGCCGCTGAATGCTGGAGCTCTCCAACCATCTGTGGTCCAGAACTAGAGGCTGAATCGGGTCCAGAATTAGCGCAACGCCACGAGCCAGCCAACTCAGAAAGAGCATTCCGGTCTGCCACTACCCAGGCAATACGACTGGTACCTTGGTCATTGTCATTCAGCAGCCTTTGCTGAGTTGTTGGATCGAGTAACAGTTGCCCCAGCTGGGACAAAGGGATCTCAGCCTCTCGCAGCTCTGTGCACAGCCCAGTCGGAGTCGGAGGACGAGTTGCGCCGCTCCGGCCACGTCCGCTGAGTCCCAGAAAACGTTTCAGCGCCGACACACGCATGGTGCCACGACCGTTGGGTTCATCGAGAATCCTCAAGAAGTTCAGCAGCATGTCCAAAGGAGTTCTGGTGGCTGACTGTTCAAAGAGCTCTTGGAGCAACATGTCATGAAGGCTGAGGATGTCAATGGATTTGGTTGACACCTCGGCGAGAACAAACACATCCTAAATTCATTCAAGCAGGTTCTGCCAAACGGGCCTTTCATATCCATTCAGTGGGTCTTAAAGTGGACCTTGAGCTACGATGGAAAACAGGAGGAAGACCTATAAGCCCCGTTTTGTTTGAGAGGCTCCGCCAGAACCAAAGTATTTTGTATATTCGTCCTCGCCTTCATCTTTGTCGAGAGCCCCAGCATCCTCATAGCTTCGCCAAACTTCTCAACGGGAATTCCAGATCCATCCTGTTCAAGTTGGGCCATGACCCTATCCACAGCATTGATGCTCAGATTCCAGATGATCTCCTCATGACTCAGTACATCAGCATATTCAAACACATCCAGCCCCTCGTTGAGGCTCTTGCAAATATGTCGCGCTTCTTCTTCATCGTCCTCACAGCAGGAAGCAATAACTACCTGGTGCTTTCCATCTGAGCGAAGCCACTGTCGGAGATTCTCTTCCAGTCCGTCAATGGGGCATTCCAAACCTTGAAGCAAGTGATAGAAAGCGATATCATTCTTCTCAGATGCATGTTGCAGGTCTTTGTCAAGGAAGCGGAGCTCTTCCCTGGTGGAGTTCTGCATCTTTGCTTGCACGCCAACCAATAAAATCTTGCTAGCACCTCGATCGGCACAGCAGCTAATTGTACTGAACGCACGGCAACGAAAGGCGTCATACCATCGTGCGTCTGTCGCCTGTGTCGAAAGTGCATCTCTCTAAGATTGAAACAATGGAAGTCTCATAAAGGGTGGTTGTTACATTGGCATGTATTACTGGCCAGCTTTTTAACAGAACATAGTCCCTTGCGTGCAGTTTGTTGCTTGTCTGCCCCTGAGGAGATTTAGCAAACTCATGCAAACTCTTAGATCTTCTTCCCATCAACCTTCCCCTGCAAGAATTGGTGCAAAACTCACCTAAACTTGGATGTGTTTGCTTGATTTATCTATCTGGATTATCAGATTCCTTCTTAAGATGCTTGATTTTTGAGGTCACTCAACAAAGGACAACGCGCGAACCGGACTTTCACCTGCTTCCGTCCTGCCTTTCTGCAGCGCACTATCTTTGTAAGCCTCTTAATCTTGTCAGCAGCAAAAATCAAGCCCGAAGCCATGCAAATCTTCCTCACCAAAGCAAACGTTACCTGCTCGACATGCTCCAAGCACAAGGACCTTTGCGCAACGTGGGCTCTGGCAACATTGGCATCTGTCCAGATTTTGAAGTATAGATCTTCGGACATTTTGTGCCAGTTCCCCCTTTCCTGGGCCAGCACTTTGTGGAAATCTGGGCTCATGTTCTTCGACAGCTCTGACAGATCTACCTCTATCACGATCGGCTCCTGCCACTTGAGCCTCACCTCAAAACCCTGTTTTGCTGGAACTGTTGGCGTCTGCTTTGGCAGTTCCTCCATGGTGGATGAGAGGGGCTCACATTGTGGACGGTATACCTCCGCTCTGCACCCATCCACTTGAAACTCAATGGTTTCATCATCAATTTGAGCTTTGAAACTCGATCCCGACTGAGCTGAGAGGCTCGGGGAAACGAAGGGAAAGCGCTGAAATTTCAACTGGATCTTCTGGTGGAAGCTCTTGGCTGGCTGTGACAGCACCACTTCATCACCATCTTGATGCTCGTCCAGTAGTGCTGGATCTTTACACAGGATGAAATCCTCAAGGATATGGGGATCTTTCTCGCGGCCCTTGAGTTTCTTCATACACTCGTGACATTCAACGTGTGCCAGCACAACCTTCGCATCCGGATTCTTGATGTAGCCCAAAGCCTTTATGTCTATTGGTTCGCCAGCTGGTAGCATCTTACAAAAATGTGGTAAGGACGCGATCATGATGTTCTGTCTGATCTGAACAGGCACCTGCTTCCAGCCACCGTCGGTGGTGCACCAAGCATTCTTCGCACCACTGCATACAGGCAGTACCACATGCACCTCCTCCAGAAAGGTAACATGTTCAGGCCACAGGCTCAACAAAGGACCCATAGGCACCATGCCAGCCGGCAAAGCTGGTGCATCAAAGTCCTCCAAAACTTCAACTTTCAATGCGTTCGCTTCGTGAACAAAGATGCTGCTCATCATGAGGATGCCGTCCTGCACCAAGCAAATGGCGGTAT